GAGGGAATTAGAAAGGAAAGGGAGAGAGGAGGTTAGAAGAGAAGGGGGGGCTGGGAGGAGAGGAGTTAGAAAGAGAAAGGGAGGATAGGAGGTTAGAGAGAGGGGCTGGGAGGAGAGGGGGTAGAAAGAGAGAGGGGGCTGGGAGGATAGGGAGTTAGAAAGAGAGAGAGAAGTGGGACTGGGAGGAGAGGGAGTTAGAAAGAGAGAAAAGGGAGGGGAGCTGGGAGGAGAGGAGGTTAGAAAGAGAGAAAAAGAGAGAGAGGGGGGGGGTAGGAGGAAGGGAGTTAGAAAGAGAGAGAGAAGTAGGGTTGGGAGGAGAGGAGGATAGAAAAAGGAGAGTGGGGAAGAAGGAGATGGAAGATACGTTACGAAGAGAAAAGAGCGCAGGGGATAGGCTCCACGCTCGACCAATCGGAAGAGAGAATGCCATGTCTCTCGCTCTGATTGGTTGACGGGTACGGTTTGAATTTTAACGGAGTAAGGAATGATAGAATGAAAGAATTGTTATCTAGATACAGGCAGACTCAGGAATCCTTCCCCCTTTCTGTCTATCTTCCTGTCTCTCTTTATCTCTTTCTGTTGGTCTGTCTCTCTTCCTCCACCTACCCCCTCAAGCTCCTCTTCTCTCTCTCTCTCTCTCTCTCTCTCTCTCTCTATCTATCTAGCTCTTTCTCTCTCCTCCTTTCTCTTATTCTTTACTGTATTCAGAATTACAAATGAAAATATAGAGTGATCGAGAAGAGATTAACCAGAACTTTATTTGAAGGAATAACGTTAAACCATCATAGCATTATGTACAATAACTGAAGCAACACATTTTTAAAAATTTATATCCAATTCTTTGTTTATTTTTTTACTAGTTTTAACCTGATTTGGCTTCCGTTCTCTCCAACATTATTCTTGTGGTTATATGGAAATCATGCGTATATGGATTTCCGATTATATATTGGTAGAGAAATATCAAATTTCGCCCATGCTGTAAAAAAAAAAAAAAAAAAACATACAGGATTTATGTTCCTGAATATGATTTTGAGACGACACGTGTACGTTAAAAGAAGACGAAAAAGACGAAGAAGAACAGAGAAGGAGGAGAAGGAGAAAAAAAAGAAGAGAGAAGAAGACGATAAAAGAAGAAGAGGAGGAAGAAGAACAAAACACATATAACCGCCCAGGTCTTGAATAGCTTTGCATGTCGCAGCGTCGCCCTCAGCGCAAGTATGTGTGAGCGGCAGAGAGGCTGGACACATTCCTCAGAGTTATTGGAGACAGATTTCGTTGCGGGCCATTTAACGCCGACCTGCGCTGGATACACACTCGGGTCGCGCGGACACATTCATGCACTCATGCACGGCTTCACACGCATGCACACGTGAACTCACATGGACAAACGTAGGGAGATAGAGAGAGAGAAAGGGAGAGGAGAGGAGGGGAGGAGGAGGGTGAGGGTGAGAGGGAGGAAGGGGAGGGAGGAGAGGAGAAGGAGAGGGAGGGAGAGAGAGAGAGAGAGAAGAGAGAGAGAAGAGAGAGGAGAGAGAGAGAGAGAGAGAGAGAGGAGAGAGAGAGAGAGAGTGAGCGAATGAAAACACGACGAAATCAATAATACAGCCCCCCCCCCCCCAGAATGCACTCAGAACGCGTGCCTCTCCAACATACACCCTCATCACCAACATCAAAAGCTAATTAACCACACACATCAAACCCCGATTCCTAAGGCAATTATCTCCACATCTATAATTCTCTTCCCTCGAAATTACTCATCAAACAAAAAAACAAACAAACAAACAAAAAACACCTCATATGGGATCTTCAGAAACCCAGAAATCTTGAAATGAAATAATAGCTGTAATGACATTTTTATAGGAAAAGGCAGTTAGGCAGTTAGTAGTGGGGGGGGGGACTTCACTGTACCTGGCTGTATGTCAAACGACCTCACAGGAAACTCGTTTGGGTGTGATTTATTCGAAGAGGAATTTCTTATTTGGACTTTTTTTTTCCTTTTTTGGGGGGGGTGGGGTGGCGGGTGTGTGTGTGGGGGGGGGAAGGAGGGGTGGGGGTGTACGTTTCAGGGTCTCGCGATGGGGGTGGGTATACGCTGGCTTGTAGGGCTTCGGGTGGGTTACTGTGTGCGCGTGTGTTTGTCTGTGTATATTTACTGGTCTTTTTGTCTCTGTTTTCTCTGTCTCTGTCTGTCTGTCTGTCTGTCTCTCTCTCTCTCTCTTTCTCTCTCTCACACACACAAACACACACACACACACACTCATACACAGAAACAACCCCACACAAACACACATACATCCATTCGCGTATCGACTCCAAGATACCACAACCTGTCTTGCAACTAAGATTTCCTCCAGCAACTGAGGCCCATTGTCCTGGTTCCTCTTGAGCTCCCATGCAAGAGAGAATATGGACATGGCCAAGGAACACACGTGACTTAGACCTTTGTTTTAATATGTTTGTTTAAGCAGTGTATAAACCTTTGATGATAAATTATATGGAC